ATCAGAGCTCACAAGTGCAAGGAACTGGACGCATTGGCAACAGCCGCAAGTCCTGTGTAATCGACCGACCGACCGACCGACCTGACCTTGTGAAGATAGGAGCACATACCGGACTTCAAAAATGCCGGTAATGATGCTGAATTTGTGGAAAATTTTCCCTGTTCGCTCCACATCTCGCGGTGTTTTTCTGCTAAAAATGAGTTAGCGCAAGTTTGTAGACTGCTTTCCAAGAGAAATTACGTGTGTGGGCCTATGATACCCTTACAGGGGATTTCTTAAAGTTTTGAAATTATTCTCGAGCTCGATTCTGGGACCCAGTAGTACCAGATCCTTGAAATTGTCTAGTTCTTCTCTGCCTTTTATATTCGTGGAGGCTGTAATCGAGCGACCATAGAAACTGCTGGGGTTGTATCTCTTCTGGCCCGGGGCTAGTGATGCGAATTATGCTTGTAAGTTTGTTAGCAAAGGTAATTGGTTGCGTAAGACTGTGTGTAAAAATGCGAATTGGGCTTTTTTCCTAGTTTTTGGGGGTGTGTATGGTTAAGGGGAGGTCATTTTTCTTAGACGCTTATCAGATCGAGACTAGAACCACACTGTTTGCCGAAGAGGGTATTTCCTTTGGCAATGCGTTCCAGTGGGAAATCACCCTAAAAATGAAGAATGGTGTGCAAATGATGGTACGTGGCTGAGGTTTGGATATTGTTTTTTCTATTGCCCCGTTTTCCACCCGAAGGGGCTAGAGTGGAATGCTTATCTACTCTGCCCGAGGAGAACAGATATCGTTAAACACAAGGACTAAGGAATGCTAAAGGATGATCCAGTTAAACAGGCGGATATATTCGCAAAGCATTACTCATCAGTGCGTGAGTCAGAGGAGCCGTTTCCTGAAGATCTGCACACTCAGGATCTTAACTCACCCGTTTTGGCTGTCCCGGAGTTCAACCCACGTGAAGTGCAGGTTGCCATGGAGAACCTGGACACCAAACAATCCCCAGGTCCTGATGGACTGCATCCAAAGGTGTTGAAAGTGCTCGCGGTTGTGATATCTGCCCCCTAAAATATGGTCGACCCCCAAAGGATTGGAAGAGCGCACTGATATCGCCCTTGTTGAAGAGTCGTTCAAGGGCAGTTCCGGCGAATTACCGTCCCGTCAGTCTGACTTGCATCTCCTGCAAATTGATAAAGCGCTTAATCTCTAACAGATTGTATTGCCATCTGACGGAGTGTCAACTGCTGTGCCACCAGCAGTATGGTTTTCGCCCGATGACATCCTGCATATCAAACCTTTTGGCTAGGGAGGAATGGTGTGCCGCCAAAGCCAGTGGGTCTGTCACGGACAGTGTCTATGTCGACTTCAGCAAAGCCTTCGACAAGGTTCCACAGACTACTTTTGAAGTTGAGAAGATTCATAGTGGCAAATCCAATACTCACTTGGGTGGAGAAGAGACGACTTTTTGCGGTGAAAATCCGTGATTCAATATCCGCTGGGTATCCAGTTCTCAGTGGAGTCCCGAAAGATTCAGCTCTGGGGCCGGTACTGTTTCTGTCGTACATCAATGATCTTCCAAGTCGGCTACGTTCATCATGCCTGGTCTACACAGATGATCTGAAACTATGGAGAGCACTTCAGGTCGGCACCAGAAGTGATAACTCTACAAGCTGATTTGGATAGTCTATCCCAGTGGGCGAAGAAGTGGGCGCTCCCCATCAACCTCGGTAGGTGTGTACATATGAGAATCGGCCGCAGTGACCTTAGACCGGTCTACACACTAAATGATGTTCTCCCTAGGAGCAGTGACCACGAGAGGGACTTAGGGGTCATCATCACATCGTCCCTCAAGACCAGAGGCCACACGAATAAAGTATATTCTTCTGCCTGGGGTATCCTTGGAGCAATTTGCTGATCGTTTGGACCGCTGTCGAAGCAGGCCTTCAAACTTCTGCACGCCATGGCGATCCGTCCTCGTCTGGAGTATGGGGGAGCGGTGGTTCTTCCCATAACAAAGGGAGAGATGACGAAAACCGAACGTGTACAGAGAGCAGCTACCCAGCTTGTTGCGGGTCTACGGGCACAGACTTACGAACAGCGACTCGTCAACACGGAGCTATACATAGAGAGTTACGGACGTATTCATGGGGACATCCTGCTGACTAGAAAGATTATCCGTGGTGACTTGGGGAGCAGTTGCAAGAAAAGTTTCCACTGCACAGCGATGCACGCACCCGCGGTCACTGTCTCAAGCTTCGAAAACAGGAATCATCTGGATTACTATCAGTCTACCGTCCTTCCAGGAGATGCTCTACCGGCAGATGTGGTGGAAGAGGACAATGATGACAAATTCAAACAGCGTCTTGATGATTTCCTATTGATGAGGCGACAAGCTGATGGATAGCTCGTCCGGATCCGGAGGAGAGAAGGCTCATACGGGAGGAGTCCCAACTGCCTTTCATTTCAGAAGGTGAAGGTAAAATACAAGTTACCCCTTATTGACCTAAATTCCAGAGGATACAGACCGAACTCCATTGGTCGGCCAGAGTTGGTTAGGGTTTGCATTCCAACCACCGCTTTTGTTGCGCTCTTTGAACTCGCTCAACAGCATCGCGACCGCTGATCTCGCTGGAATGAAAGAATTGATTACCATACAAATGAACGAACATAGGTGCCGTAGATGAAAGTATAATGCTTCTCCGTAATGTGAGGGAAAGTCCTTTGAATAAGTTAGAGAACACGAAGGGCAGATTTGCTATCAAACTGATTGTGGTGTGAACAGATGACGTGGAGCCGAAGCATAAAGAAATGCACCGCGGTCAGACAGCCTAGGTATCTTCCGTCTTCCAGGTTGGGGTCCAAAAGACCCTGCAACTGGTCGATGGGAGACACTAAAGGATATGCCAACAAACCGACAGCGATGGCGTTCTTGTTTTCATTTCCTATCAGACCTGGAAGCCTGAAACGGTATGTGTGCACATTTGTGTACTGTTTTGACCATAGAGGTTCACCTTTTCTCATCAGTCAAAATAGGTCCAATCTCTGTTCACTTTACACACTACCACTAACTTTGTGTTCATTGCGAGTTTGGCAGCCGTCGGTGAAGTTCACTTCATCATATTTCGCTGTGCGATGGTGATGATGGTCCGCTATATATTCACCCATCGAGATGAATATCATTGTATGGATGCACATTTGGAGAATGTTACGGTTTCAATGTTGAGATAACTGTCCTTGAAATGTAACAGTTATCCAAGATCCTTTGGATTCTCGAATCTTGTAGGTAACTTACCAGTTCGTGGCACGGTGGATTCTGTTTTCGGACTCCCATACGGACGCTAGCTAATGCCGGCAAAAGGACTTCCAAAGTCACTTAAAAGCATGGAAGTCATACTTGCTTGGATTGATAGCAGATAGTCATAACGTAACGTTTTTCTGGTCTTTTTCATGCACAAAAACGGCTCTCGAATCATACGCCCAAGGACCGTTCATGTAGGTCAATCACAGGCAAATTCACCATAGACCCGGTTCATTTGTAAGGTTCCAACCACTGTATTTTCCAACTTACTAAAATCCCCCGTAGAACAAACCTTACTTCCGCGCTCTTGTGACTTAAACCATTACCAATACTGTGACGGTCAAGTGGTAGAGATCACCAAATTATCGCTCCGTAGGACGTTTCCGAATCCCACCACCAATGGCTGAGTTTGCCACTCTGCGCTGTAAGACAGCTCTCTGATTGACTGCTTCCTCCTTCCTAAAAGTTATGTCATTGTGTATTCAATAAAAGGCAGTAAAATACAAGATTAAAAGAAATATGCACTCATTCAAGTTATCGTATTAGCCAAAGCTGTTGAAAGAAAAATACTGAAAAACGGTGTAATACTTACATGTTTATTACAAACAAAGATCATTTAGAAAAAGTTAATTGCATATCGCACACAAATATTCTTCAATGTTTGTGGACGAATCGTTTCATTTTTCGAATCGTATCTTCCCGAGTGAGTTCATGAGTCTGGCTTTTGTACACCGCATGTTCACCTAAAGACAGTGGGCGTATGAGTCTCTTCGTCGCAGCTCAGTGACATAACTTAGACGAATGTGTACTACCACCACCTCCCCAGAAAGTCTTCTTGGCGACACTTGCACAGTTGATCGTTTTTCTCCTTCACCACGTCATCCGGTAGCATATTCCTCATATAGATCCCCCGTCAGTGATGGCGTTAAGCCATCGAAAGTCCCACCGAGTGCCACTTTACCAGAGTTAGTATGTGTCTCCTCGTGCGATTGTGATCTCGAAGAGGAAGCATCGCTCGCAGTTCATAGCCCAGGTCTCCGCGAATTGTGCATGTGAAATGTAAAAAATGCAATAGAGTCATTACATCATTGGGTATTCACTCACCAAGGATCGCACTCGTAACCAGTGAGGTGAAAACTGTAGCTCTCTCGTGTGTTCCACTTCAGTCCCGTTGTTTGCACATGGCAAGTGTGACGCACGATTAACCATGGAACGACTGCAATCTCCGATATTTTATCCACCACTGAAACTGTAAATAGAAAATAATATGTAATAACGCATTGCACTTCCAAGACATCATCGTATGCTACGGTTATATGAGATACCAAGTCTCACATCCTGTGTATCTGCGTTCCTCTTCAATGAGAAACGAGCCGTCCGAATCGTCCACTGGTCGGGACATATCCAACTTAAATTCTATGCTCATTTGATGTAACGTGAGTACAATTTTATTCGCCATCTTTAGTATTTTCTTGTTTTTTTTCAACTGTAGCAAGAAAGGCTATGTGAAGGTTAATTTACATTCTTGCATTCACTTTAGCCCCGTCATACTATATTTGTAGGACAGGATGTTCTTCTGGAATCCTCTTGTTGAACGTGAATCAGCAATTGTTTATATTGAGAACAACAGCGTGGTGAACAAGCTGTTTTTCGGTGATTCGTAATCATACCATTACATAACATAAAATATGACTAACAACAAGAACAAAACAAGAAATGAAAGATTCGAGTCCTAATGATTCAGTTGTGGCTCTAATCATGCGTTCGCGTTCGCGAACACCACTCTGGCTTGGCTGAGGACTGAATTAAGACAATTAAAGGCGTGGCGTGTTCGCATCTCGTTGAGTCAAATCGCTCAGTAGATGTGGCAAGCTCGTTTCGACCGTTTTACAAGGTTCGATGCAGGCAATCAAGAGCAGTGAAACATCGCATCTTAGCCATGGCGGAAGCCGTAAGTATTCGGATTCACAACCCCCCCCCCTTGTGCGTCAAGAAGAAATTTGTGCAAGCACTTAATCTCCCCTGGCGCACTTCAGCCACTCCAACACGTGTGCAATCACTTCAACTTTTGACACTGTGATCAATTCCACACAAACACACACGCATGATTGGAGCCACAGCTGAATCCTTAGGACTCGAATCTTTCATTTCTTGTTTTGTTCTTACTGTTAGTCATATTTAATGTTATGTACTGGCATGATTACGAATAACTGGAAGCAAGCTTGTTCGCCACGCTGTTGTTCTCAATGTGTTCTGTGGGACTAATAAAACGAATTATGTATATGAATATTGGTTTCCTGGGCTGTTGGAATGAAACTCACGTCGGTTTCGGTTTCATATTTCCTGTGTTGTCTAAGTCAACACGTTCAAGACATAAACTTAAATAAAGTAAAACGGACCTGTGGAGCCCTACTTCAACGCCACTGTTAATCACTTTGAATTTATATTTCCACCAGTGATCTAATTTTATCCTCTACATTATTTTTAAAAAGTGTTTTACAACCATTAACCACGCACTTTCGTTTTTTATTATACACTTTCATGTAATGAACAGTAGACGGGGAAAGCCCCATAGTTACGAAGACCTGCTGTTCATTGATTTTAACCGGCAGCCTAAGCTCCTGGACCTGGAGTGGCGAACCACATAAGGCCCCGATAGGTGCGCCGGTCCCAACACCAGCTATTCTTAAGTGAAACGTTTCATTCACAATCTTTTCTGTCCTTATAAGGGTACCACAACCAAATAGGGCAAACCAATGTGTCTACGCAT